CATGACAGGTTGGATGTAGCCCCTCTGGACTCTCACTTCATCACTAGTTCTGTTGGCTACCAGTGTAGACTAGACCTGAATGCACATTTGCCACACAGAGCATGCAATATGTTACTTGCCCATTTCTGAAGGTGTTCCTGCCCACCCACACTCCCTTCGTTCTGAGGCCAAAGGTTTCTTAGAAGCACTGCTCTTCCACACATGTGGAGTATAGATGTGAGTCCCCTGTGACAGTTGCGAGGAAACACAGATAAAGATGCAATATATGTATTCAAACTTTCTGTGTGTGTGTGTGTGAGAGAGACAGAGAGAGACAGAGAGAGAGAACTTCATGGACCAATAACCACAGGTAACAGATCGATAGCATATGAGAGTGTGTGTGAGAGAGAGTGACCTAAAATGGTACAGTCTAGGCCTGGCCGCCTTTCAGCTTGCTGGCTGCCTTAATGGGGCTGTGAGTGTCCGCTTGCCCCGACTTGCCTGAGGACTCTGGTGGGGGAGGGAACAATCAGGCCCCTAGACGGGGCCCACCACTCTCGACATGGCCTGAGAGTGGAGTGCAAAGCCTGGGGAAAGGTCTTTAGAGAGCGGCAGGGCTACCGTGCTTTTTTCCAGTCCAACTTTGGTCATGGGGTGCGTGCCTGAGAGCTTGCACTTGAAGAGGGAAAGGCCATCCGAAGAGGAGCCCTGGAGCCTGGGGCTGGGCTACGCAGAAAAGGAAGGCAGCAAAGCCAGAGGCACCTGCACACACATTTCCCCCCATCTAGGGAAGTGGATGCAGTTCTGGGGCTAATTTGAATCAGCCGAACACAGCCTTGGAGCCTGCTTCCAGTGGCAGGACTCAGCCCTGGAACATGGAAAGTAACTCTATAGGGTTGCCAGGTCTCTCTCCTACCTCACCCCACGCCAGGACTCTTATTTTTAACAGCTGGATGATACTGAAACAGAATTTAGCAGATGAGGTTCCTCTCTCCTGACCATGTGGATGCACTCTTTATTTGCTGAACTTTTGCTTGAATACCGATTAGCCCAGCCTGAAGGGGGGGGCGGATAAAAGATACCTGCATGCTTTTCAGAGTTGCTTTCCTGTCATCCGTGAATAGCAAACTGCACATTAGGTAACAGCATAACCTTTGGTCAATTATGAGTTTTGCTCATAATTGACCTTTTGCTTTAGAAATTAAGAATTAAAGTGGTAGTAGATTGAAGTACTGTGAGCTCTGCATGTATCTCTCTCAGATCACAAGCAAGTAATTTAAATGTACCCCTCTTTCTCACACAGGGGCCTCTCAGCACTATTCTTTAATTTCTCCTATTAATCATCATCCCCAGGCAAACAGCTTTCACAGGCAAACAGAGTAGTGGTTTTATCATCAAGTTCAGTAGCTTCTTGTGAACAAAGATGGAGACACACAGATTTTGTCTCTCCCACTTTCTTCTTCAGCAATGGCAAGGAAACTTGCAGTCACTTCGTAGTCAATGATTATGTGGAACTCAGTAATGCTATCAGCAGGTCTCGCATGTCTTTCCCATTTTTGTCCATCTAGCAAAAGTTTACCAAAGCTGAAAAATCAAGTTTCTTGGAATCAAAGTGGTAGGAAGGATGGGTTGGAATGATACGTACAACCACATTTAGATTTACAAGATAAGATCATGATAATATCAGATAGGCGGTGGCTGTAATTCCAGGGATAAAAGTGTGTGTGTGTGTTCATGATATGAAAATTCACACATTTTTTATAACATCATTATTTGGTTTACCTTTTAAAGATATCTAAAGTGGACAAAGAAGCACAGAAAATGCTTTTAGAGGCATTCTTACAATTAAGGCTGAGAAGACAGATTCAGGACCTGGGATTAGTTACCTCTTAAGGTCAAACTACTTATTACACCTGTAGAATGTAAGTGCTCACCCAGCACTTTTATCATTTGTGTTCACTTAAATGCAGCCACAGGATCCTGCTAGTTTGTTCATAGCAGTGGTACTTGCTAAGTGGTATTGAAAGTCTGATCCTGCTGCTGTTTCTCAGTCTACACACCCTGTTCCAGTTTATCAGAAATCTAAACCCTAAGAAATACTTGCTCAAGCAGGGATAAAGCATCTACAGCACTTCAGTTCCAGAAACTAATATTTTTCGTGGCAGGTTGGAATGTCCATAGAGAAGTTGGAAATTCAAATACTCATGTTGGCACACATCAGGTGATTTCCCCATGTATGGTGTAAAGTTATGGGATGTGTCAAGGGCTGAAAAGAGGAGAGTCAGCTTGAGATGTGCAGTGATGAAGTTTTTCTGCCCATAAATGTCTGGTCAAGTCTGAGCATGCTTCCCAATAAGGGATATGTTGAAGACTGGTGACTGGAGTTGGGAGACTTGGTTTTTCACATGTTGAAATTGAAGATAGCTTCAAACTGAGTACTGTCTTGTGACAAGTTCTCTGGATAAAGAGCTATTGTCTGTGAAGAAGGACCACTTGGCCACCCTAGGTGTGAGTTAATGGACTGTGGACTGCCAACGCCTTGAACACAAATCAGGGTGCTTCCAGCAATGTGTTTGCAGGGTAATTGTCCTGCCTGGTTCATGGATTGATTGATTGATTTGGTGTTGGGGAGGATGTAGTTGATACTAGCTTCTGTAGCTCACCCATGTTGTCTTACTACTGCTTCTGACACTTTTCTTACCAGAAAAGAATCTGCTGAAAAATAAAAGATGGAAGAGCTAAATAAGGCCTTGAGACTACAAATAGTTAACACAATTTAGGGATATGGTCTTAATGTTCTTTATTCCAGTGGCACTTTGGACCTTTTTTCCTTTTTATTTATTCAGTGTCAGTACACTGCTTATACAGTTGTTTATACAGTTGCCCTTATGAAGGCAACATTACAGATGACACCAATAGATCAGAAATACCAGCAGTATTTTGCCCCCTTAAGCTCATTTTTGTATTTAAAGGGTTATATCACCCTTTAAAACTCAAATACTTTGGCCACCTAATGAGAAGGAAGGACTCTCTGGAGAAGAACCTAATGCTGGAAACAATTGACAGCAAAAGAAGAAAGAGATGGCAGAGGATGAGGTGGCCTGATGGAGTCACTGAAGCAGTTTGTGTGAGCTTAAGTGGACTCTGGGGGATGGTGGAGGACAGGAAGGCCTGGAGGAATGTTGTCCATGGGGTCGCGATGGGTTGGACATGACTTCACGACGAACGACAACAACAACCATCACCCTTTACTGGATGGGATTATTATTTTTACAATTTAGTATGCTTTGCTAAAATCTTGTTTCTCTATTCATCATAACAGACTCAGAAGAATTCATGAATTGTATTCGGAGGACAAAGATATTTTGTTGGATCTTCTTTTTATGCAGTTCAAAATAGGAGTAGGCTACCCCACTCATTTGCACGTTTGGTGAGACATAAAAGTTACCCTTTTTAAATAATATGCCTGGATTTAGAAATGATACATTTCAGTTTGAAATGACTGCCTCAGTCATTTTGCTCATAGTGAGGTTGTCTAGTTTAACTGAAATTGTGAAAGGCAAAACACAAAAAACCCAAAATTAAAATGCAAATCACTTATTACTAATCCATTGTAATTTAGTGGTTTGTAACCAGTATATATGGCCTTACATCAGCTGCGTGAAAACCTACTATTCATACATTTTCCAAAAAAGCAACGAAGAAATAACTTTATTTATTTATTTATTTATTAGATTTCTATCCTATCGCTTAGCCAGCGCGGGTCTCTTTCATTGCCTTCTTGTAAGATTAACATTAGCCCATAAACTTTCCCCCTTCCAATGTTTTGTTATTCTAATAAATGACACACATCATGTTTGATGGATGACTCTTTGCTTTCTCCTCAAATCCTTGTGACTTTGCAGGAATGGGAGGTGCAGTTTAGAAATGAAAAGTGGGAGAGAAACTTCAGTTCCACTACACTGCTGTAAGCCATAGGCCATTTTGATAAGCAAAGTTACTGAAATGTCACATAACTGAAATTGACCAATGCATGAGGCATTTGAAAATATTCACGGCACTTACAAAACTGAATAATTGTTTTTCCTGGTAGAGAGCAAAAATGAAATCTCTTTAAAACAAAAATTATCCCAAAGATCTGCTGAACTGCACTTACAGCAAAGCATATACTTCTCAAAAACAAAACAATTACATTCTTCCCTATGCTAAAATATGGCTGGAGAATTTATTAGCTCTGATGATTAATAAAAATCCCTTAGGTTATTTAGCTCCAGAATATCAAGGCATTCTGTGAAATTACAATAACATTTAGACTCCCTTTGTAGATCTATATGGCAGGGAAATGTAACATTTTCTCTGTAGCTGACTCCCTTTTCTCCTATTTTTTCTTATGTATATGTTAGTAAATATATTAATTAGTAAAAGAATGTGTATGTGCATGTTAAAGGGTTCATAATTATCCAGGTTTTCTATTACCAGGCTGCAGTGTAGTTCAGATGAATGATGTGAGGTTGGCCGCAGGGAGCTGCTTGGCTGATGGGATGCTTTTGTCACTTAGCAAAAACAAAATCTGTAACATTGAGACAGTTAAACAAACATTCTGAAGTAATTTTTCTTGTGCTCTTCCTACAGGAAATGCTAAGCATTCGCTATAAGATATTAACTAAGCAAAAGGGTATGGTTGGTATCATGTGCACTGTTAGCTGCACTGCAGTCCATTGATTTCAGTGGGCTTAGGGGTGCCTAAAAGCCTTCAAATTGCACAGCCAAAAGGTAGGAGACCCTTAATGAAAGGAACAAGGCTTCCCACCCTGACACGCACAATTCCAGGCAAAGAGATTCCTGTAGCATTATGAAAACAGTAGCCATGAGACTGTCGCAGAAGCGTAGGGGGCCAGGCCCAACTCTGTCCATGACTAGGCTGACCATGGTAGACCTTCTGCCTGACCAAGAGGTGTTTTAATCACAAATGTTTTTCATTTCAGATTTCTGGCCATTTGTTCACATGTGTCCGAGGCGAAATGAAGGCTATTGGATCTTGCATGATTTGGCTTTGGCTTGCAACCCAACCTTTTCCCGTCTCTCATTCTGTGGCAGTCACTGACAGAACAGGTATTTCCTTATTTCCCCCATTCTAATGAGACTCAGGAAGTTTGTCAGGTTGATACCAAGGCTGTTGAACAAATGGTACAACTGTGTGGAAAGTACAGAGGAATGGTAGGTAACACAGCTCTGTGGAAAGTAGCATTATATGAGGAATACAACCACTGCATATGCAGTATATATATTATGAAGTATACGGAAACTCCAACAGAGCCATGGAAGCTAAATGACATTTCTAATCTGGGGAGTATTTAATTGAACTTCTCTATTAAAAGCTGTTTCCACTCAAGGTATCTAACAGCAATATTTCCATTTCCTGTCCACTGACAGGAGTCTACATTTGGAATGAGCTTGCAATCATTTACAGTTACATTGTGCTGCCACTGATACTTCCTCATTTTCTTAAGTTACATCTCCAAAAAGAAGCCAACCCTGGGGTTGAAAATTGAGCACAGTCATAAATACAGCGTTATTTCATTGGCTCTGTAAGTGCTGTACCAGAAGACTAATGATGCTTACTTGGGAATAGGTCCTGTTGGTTTCCGTGGATTATGCTTCCAAATCATCTTGCATAAGAAGACAGCATTAAGCTGTGATCATAAGCACTCTTCAAAATAAATTCAACTGAAGTGAACAAAGCTGATCTTCAAGTAAATAAGTGTACTTAAGAAATGAGGGCCTTAATTAGTCTTTCTCTGGATTAGCATGCTAAGACATGCATGATATTCAGATAAGCAGCGGTGGCTAAAATGTGGTTCCTGTGCAGGCACAGCGCATAAGGTGCGTCACATATACTTCAGAACTTCTGTCTCTTTGGTATTTCGCATCCACCTCTGCCACCTTTTGTCCAGTTTATTGCTATCTTATCTTGTCATCTTCCATTGCTATTTTTTCTTTTGGGCTGTCTGCCTCTTAACACCCCTTGGGATGGGTATTCATCCCCTCAGAAATAAGGCAGCTTGTGTGATTGCGGAAATGATGGCATTGGCATTATTTCATTACCTATTGATCTGACAATGTCCTAAGACTATTTGTAGGCTATACTGATATCTACATTTTGAGTTGGCTGGCACTCACTGAGTGACTGGAAGCACTGCATGGTACAACCCTATGCATATCTAGACATTACAAACTCAATAATTCCCCATATCCCTCTAGCCAGCCATGCTGCCTGGGACATGTGGGGAATTGTAGGATTGCACCCTTACTGATTTACCATTGGACAAAGTACTAATAACTTCTAAGAATAATGAACTGGCTTCATCCCCATAAGAAAAAGATGAGAAAGCTGAATCATCAAAACTAAATATTGAGAATTATTTTTAGACCAACAGGAGCCCAATTTTAAGGAAGGCCAGTAAGCAGTTTTGGAATACCAATACGTATTCAGTGATAACAAATATGCTGAAGGATAGTAAGAACTGTGGATAAGCAAACCTTGCATTTCAGACTCTTTTCTAAACTCTTAAGACAGCAAAAACTTCACAAGACTTGCTGATCTCAGCCCCTGAGAGAAAGGGAATATAAACTACTGAATAAATGTACTGTATCCTTCCCTTGCCCTTTTAGGGGGTTAAGTTACAAGATTCTGAAGGATGTATCATAATTAGGTGGTTGAATATATACAGCTTAACCTAGTCATCTAAGGATCCCAGTGGATCCGCAATATTCATGTATCTATTATTTACAATAAACAAAGAATGTCAACATTCTCCTGTGAATGCTGTCTTGCCACTATTGACAATGTTCAACAGGAATGCGCACGCACGCACGCACACACACACAATTGTCTACCCCCAGACTCATTTCTGCATTCACCTGTGCTTAAAAATCTTTTATATTTAGGCACAACCTGTGGAAGATACAACTTTGAAAGGCAAAATATTTTCCTAAAGCAATGATAAAAGTTATTTAAGGCAAAAGAAAAGGCTGGGGCGGACTTATCACAGCAGAGCTAAATCTCTAAGTACCTCATTTAAAAGGAACAAAATAGAACTCTTTTACATTATTTTTACTGAATAATACCCAATTCTGGATTTCCACTACTTCACTTCGAAAAGGTCCAAGTCCCCTTCTCTTCCTCTTCCTCTCTCTGCTGCCTGCTCATTGCTTTGATGATTCTGTATTGCTGAGTTTGACTTTCTGGAGGTCTATGACTGTTTTGGGTTGAGACCCTTACAAATTGTTCGCTATGGTCTAATTGCATTGAAATGACTCTAGGAGCACTTGGAACTTCACATAAAACTTCCAGTTAACCTTGATTTTTAAAGTGGCACATATGGAAATACGGAGGCAATTACTCATAAAAAAAGGAGCGATTACATGTGTGGGCTATTACGGGGAAAGATGTTAGGCTTGCTCTCTGCTTAGTATCCTGAATGAGCCTGGAGAAGAACGTCATTTAATTAGCCAATATTGTATTAATTAAGGAAATGGCATGGATGAAAAAAGGAAAAAAGACATTGCAGAGCGGCAGATTATGCTGGTTATGTGTTCAGCAGCCTGCCCAGGCATATGCCGACAGCTCTTTGGTTCAGAGCAATGTTCCCTCAGTTTCCACTCGTGCAGAACTGCTGGTATAAGAGCCATTTACTGGAGGGAAGTGATTACTTCTAAAAATAAAATGTAACAAAACGAAAAGAGTGGATTTAGTTACAATACTGAAACTCATGGAGTTGTCAACAGTCCTGTGCTAAAGCCTAAACAGACTAAAGATAGGGTGTTCTCATAATTGTTTGATTCCTTGACTTTCCAGGGATTAAGTTTGTTTAGAAGCATAATGTTTTCACAGAATTGACAGGATTTTTTTGACAGAACCACGAAAAGCGAAAGTCATAATTTATACATTTTAACTCATCAGGAATAGTCCTTTAGAATCTTTGGTGATTGTCCCAAACTCCTTTTATGGTCATTGTTCTACAACCCAAATTTACTCTCAGCTAAAGTTGCAATCCAATGTTCACTTTCTTGAGAGTAAATGCTATTGGACTCAGTGGTACAAACTACCATGTAAGGATATGCTTGCAGGCCCCTGTTGAAACTAATGGACCTAATTAATCACTCATTAGTTAAATTCATTGCTTCCAGTGGGACACTGGTCACAGTCCTATGCATGCTTACATGGGAATAAGCCCTACTGAACGAAGTGGGACTTGCTTCTGAGTAACCATGTGTAGGATTGTATTGCTAGTAATTACTAAATTTAGTTAATTCATAGCCATGAACTGCATTGACTCATTTGATTCAGACTGCTCAAGTTCTGAACTTGTCAAAAGAAAAGAAGACAGGGTCATGCCCCATATTCCCCCTGCATGTCTGCTACTTCTGTTGCACCAGTGGAACGGACCACTAGCAAAATGATCCCTGAAATAAATGCTCGTTTTCAGAATGGGACAGTGAACTACTTGTTTCTAGTTATTTCAAGAACCACTAGTTCCTGTCACACTAGCGATTTGTTAATGGAACTGTGTAAGATACTATCCAAGACATCCTGGATTCCTGAAATTTGAACAGAGCATGTAACTAACATGGAATTTTAGGTCAAAATGTCAGAGGTATGAATTTCTATGCAAAGGACACTGAGATGTGTAGTAAGGATGTTCTCTAATCCAGTCCTCTTCAGCTGGCGGGTGTGCCCACCAAGTCACGTCCCAACTTAAGATGAGTTTCACCAATTATACCTCCATTGTTCATTTTGGTCATGGTCATTTTGGGTGATTTTTAAAATACGTATTTTAAATAGAAGGAGAGGGAGAGAGAATGAGGAGAAAAAGAGGGAATAGAGCAGGTGTAGTTCCTCATTTCTGCATGTAGAGTTTCTTCTGTCAAAGTTCTCTCTTCTAAATAAAAAGAATAAGGCCTGGCCTCCCTTTTACTTTGTCCAGAAACTTAGAGAGGCAGGAAGAGGTGGTAAAAAGAAGTGGGTCCCATATTGGGGGACAGATGGATTGCAGGTTTGCAAAGACTTAAGTTTATTCCTATAACCAATAGTTTGCAATATATAAAGTGAAAACTCAATGTACTGTATGAGTATCACTCAAAATCTCATAAAGTAATGCAATACTATATTATGGTAGTTTTCATTTAATATTGAAAATTCATCTGCATTCTTAAAACAGCACAGTGAATAATTCCTCCAGTTACTTTGGTGGGACTATTATGAATGTGTGGCCATTTACACAGTGAATTACTCAGTAATATACTCAGACGCTGACTGTACACAAGTTGAATTCTGCACACTGACTGCCATTTAAAAGTTGATGTGCCCAGGAGTTTGTTAGAACTCACACCCTATTTATGGTCCAGTGTGTGACAACACTATTCAGTCTGCATAGATGAAAACACTATAGCCTGTGATGTAAGTTTACACATTTTGCTTATACAACCAAACTTAATTAACTGCATGTAAATGTGGTGATTTGCAATTTATCTTACAAGTTGTATGGCACAATTATGCTACGAAAAAGTGTGCTGGTTTGTGTGTTTGTTTTATGGAGGGTGGTAGTGGCATAGAAATAGAATGGCTGATGTCCTTTAAAACCAACATGCATAGCAAAGGCTGCACAACCATATTGATCTTTCCAGCAGAGGTATTAAGATAGCTGTGCATGACCTCTCTCCAAGTCTGAAAAGGTAAGGTGATCATGCACTGCAGCTGTAAGCTGTGCCTGTGTTTTCTCTCTTGGCACTCGAAGCCCAGGACAGAGGATGTGCATGCAGCTGGTTTCTCTACAGGAAAGAGAGCCACAGTTGGAGTCTCCATGCGCTGTATTCTTGTGCTCTGAGTTCAGAAGTGGGGCAAATTGCAAGTGTGCGCATGAGCTGGCATGCACGTGGGTGCAACATCTGCTCTTTCAACCCTTCTGACTGATGTATCTCTGAGTTATGTCTATTTAAAATATTCATGGAAAAGAATCACTTACTTGTCTTTCAGAATACCTAGTGTTCTACCATAGTACATAAAAAGACGTCTAGGCTGCCGCAGTCATATTTGGAACAGAAAGCCAGAT